AGCGTAATTCCGTTTCAAAACAAGCAAGAGTTAAAATCGCTCTATTTATACAATTATTAACTGACCCATAAAGTAATCCGTTAATCTATTATACACATATAATTTAAGCTTTATTACGACGTAAAATGATTCAATTTACATTGATTTTGTACAAAACAATAAACATGAATGATAGATAAATAGGCGCGATAAAAACATACGTGTAATTAATCCGTTAGTTGGTAAAGAGTTATAATACGTTAACCTTTATTGTAGAGCAATTCACACTTTAAGCATTAGCATTAATACTTAAGTATTCCTAAGTAATGTATTGTCACATCTTCACCTACCAATAAGCAAATGATAGTTTATAAAAAATCAATCAGTTTAATCGTGCAGCCATTGCAAACAGAATCACAGCCGGAATTAGTTTAAGCGGTCAATGACACGGTGCTGCCTTGGCCGGGAACCGAACCGGGCCGTTGTCATGGCAACGCCTCCACAACACCGCTCGCGACGGAGTATAGGGCGGTTCACGTTCTATAAGAATAGGTGAATTTTCAATTGACCTTATTGAACCAGATGTATCTTGACATAACACATTATTTGAAATTTATTCTACGACTAACTTTCGCCGCGAAACCGTTCTTGTGGCAAAAAAAGTAAGTAGCCAATTTTCTTCCAGGCTATCTTCTACGACTATGTCAAAATCCAACAAAAATTCATCCATCTAAACTTTCTCATTTATTATATTAGTAAGATAAGAAACCCGATATTAGATGCTGGAATAATTACGACAGTCCCGAAAGTTTATTTATTTATTTATTTATTTTCAATAGGAAGCCAACGTATCACATGAAATAAGTTCTGTATGATGAAGAAAAGTAATTATAACTAAAACACAATATCATGGATACACTTACAGGCTAACACAACATTATAATAAAAAAAAAAAGTTTTACATGACAAAGAATTAAAAACTAAAACTAAACTCACTACAAATTAATTACTGTAATATAATATCCCTGAAGCCTTTTAAAGTCAATTTAAAAAGTAATGTTTTGAAGCAATCAGTTCCGTTCCGCATTGCGAAAAGTTGAAAGCTCACGTGGAAAGTTCAACATCGCACGCACGGAAATATAAAAAACATGATTTATGTTTGGCACATACGGTACTTTTTCTGTATGTTTCCTGATTCGTAACACTATTGTGAAGCGTCAGGAATAACATAAGGCTACCAATAACCTTTTCTTCAGGATAGCGGTCAAACTTTCTAAGCCACTATCTTACTATATACTAAGATTATAAATACGAAAGCCTAGATGGTTGAATGTTAGAGAGTAGCCTAAACTACTGAACGAATTTAGATAAAATTTAGCATAGTTGTATTGGATAGTCTGAAAGAACACATAGGCTACTTGCTTTTGTTTTTTTTCTATAATTCTAGGCGGTTGCGAGCGAAAGTTATTTCTTAATAAATCATCTGAGAAATTAGTTCAATAATCGTGTTTGTTATATTTTACAGATTATATTTCACACATGTTATATGACTCGTGGGTCAAAGCAGAGATCTCAAAGGGGTTAGAAATAGTCATGGTTCGTAACGCTGGCCGAGTCATGTGGTGTTTCGGTTAGGGTGTATCTTAACTTTAACACCTGTGTTGTAATATATTGCCATCTCGTTCACATTTTTTGTAAAAGACAGAGATATCAATACACTTTTCTGCAATTCTTATAAACCCTCAACTCCTATGCTATTTCGTTGTTGACACTTTAACAAAATTTTAATTGATGTATTGTTTTAAAAATTATCTGATATTTATTCAACAAATAATTTCTTAATATCAAAAACATCATTTCAAAGAACTTATACAGGAAGTATTTCTTGAATTCTTATGAAAGCAAAGTATTGTTATAAAACCTATCTGAACCTTTCGTATATCGGTTAAATCAACAATATGTTTATGTAAACAAATCTGAATTCAAAGAATCAGCAGACCAGAAGTTCTTGTATAAATATATAGCTGTTTCCGAGCGGCTTCGTCCGCATGTAATTAAAAACTGTATTTTATTGTTTACATCTGTCAAATTCTCAATCGCAAATGTCAAAATATCAATTACCTTACCATGGCAATCTTGCTTCCTTGATGTTGACACCTCGTAGCTTATGGTCTCTTTCCTACATTAAGGTTTTGATCCAATTTATTTACCTACTAAGTTTAGTAGCGCGAAAATATAAGCCTAAAGCGTGATGTAAGTGTAGGGCTTTTTATTGAAAAAATAATTATTCAAAAACATGCTGCTGACATCTTACGCCACAAAGAAGTATGTGTTCACGCTTTATTATATTATTAGTATAGATAAAGGTTTCTTTTATTGTATTTAAAAATTACATTGTTAAGGTAAAATGTGATCGTTGTGTGGATTTCATTGAGGATTCTGAAACAAACAGGAAAAGGGATCTCCAAGGTACTACGGTCGTTGACAAGGACATTGGTGATAAAGTACTTGTTAAAAATGAAGCCAATTATGTACTATATAATTGGCATTCGATCGAGGAAGGCAGTGTGGTGACCGACCATGACAGGCATAGCATGTATCGACTGAGGTTAATTTTTATAATTCATTTAATTGAGGTAAACGATATACCGAAACATTTCTGAAAATTACCAATTAATAAAATTAAATTCGGAAAGCATTTTTTTATGCGTATTCTGTTTGTCAGGATTTATTAATCTATTTTTAATGCAACAAATTTGTCACTATTTTAGTCCCTTTTCCTTTCCACCTTTTTCTTGGGAGAAAATAATGGGAAGGAAAATTGGATTTGATGGTGGAGGAGACGCATAAGAAGGGAAAATATCCTCTTTATGTGCGTCTACTCCTCCATTATTTATGGTTTATGGGCAGCTGTCGCTTTCCTTTTGGGTACATTCAAGTGGCCGCTTGCTCGTCTGCCTCCTTATAACATAAAAGAAAAACCATGGTAATTTGTTAAATATTTATTTTGGGCTGAAAGCAAATCAGTCAACGAAAGAGAAGTTTAATTTTCACTAGTGTCTCCACCAAAGCAATTCTAGTAAAGCATTAATCGTTTGCGTTAAATCGTTTTGAGAAATTTTCCAATGACATCGACTCTTCTAGAACATAGGCGTGCTATCGCCGCATCACCGCACACGTTGCGGAACCTAACCTCTCATTTGTAATTACGTTTAGAACATTAAGTTTTATTGCCTTAACTCGATATAGCTGAGGCGAGATCTAAGATTTTCATTACCCCTTTTATTACTAACCATTATGCAAAAGTAACCTTTGAGAAAACATTAAATGCGATATGACTGGTATATTTAGTCGGTATTATTCTGATATAGAAAATATGACCGTTGGTTTCCACTGATATAAAAAATACTTGTGATCGTCAAAAATGTATGCTTAACTTTATTTCTAAACTAGCTTTGGCCCGCGACTCCTTCCACGTGGATTAATAAAACAACAAAAGTAAATAGCCAATGTGTTTTACCAAACTATGTTCTACATCTATTCCAAATTTCAGCCAAACTCGACAAATATCCATCATCTAAACTTTCGCATTTATAATATGAGGATGACGTAATTTAGTTATCTTTTAAACAGTTTATAAAATAAGTCTTCAGAGCAGATTTATAAAACGGTTAACATAATCAATATTATGTACATTTGTTATGCATAATAATAATTGTTTATTAATTAGCACAAATGATACGTCAACGAACTCGATTTTACACGTGTGTATGTAATAATACTCTTCAAAGATATTATGCAACTGAATGTTTTACGTAACACTAGCCGTAGTTAAAATACACCCATTTTACTGCTTGCAAGCTAATAATTCATGAGTGTTTTGTTTCATAATTGTCATGCAATTTAATTATGAAGCTGCGGAACGAATTGTCAATCACACCTTGACGTTTGTAATGCTAGTGATACAAGTTCGTCTTCCAGTATGTTTATTAAAAATGTCTTCTATCTCTTACATATCATGTTTAAATATTAATTTTGACAATACTTACAATAACTCACCAAACAGTAATCATTCGACAGCCTCCATGTGTCCTAAGAATACTTTATAAGAGAAACATTTGATGTAAGAATTGAAAGAAACTGAACTCCAATTATTAACGGCCAAATAAAGAAACGCATCTTAAATTCAACGCTTCGTAAACGCCGCTTACAATTTGATGGACGTCAAAATTTGTAAGGAATTAAATAAAACAAGTAAGAGTTCAAGCGTGGATGTAATCATTTAAGAAGCTGTTACATATTTAAATTGAGTTTCAGTATTCGGCAGTAAGTATATTGCGTAGCTATTGAATGAACATGTGTTGCTACACCACCTCTCGTGGTCACATTCTACATCGTAGTGAAATAGTTTAGCAACAAGTTGTAGAGATGGATCACTCTTCGACCTTTACCTAGTTTCTTATGATCACTTTCTCTTGCTTCCCCATAAGAAACTATCGGCTGGTAGATACGTCTTTGGGTTTAAGTCAAAGTAGGTGTGTAAATGAAAATAGTAAGTGCGTGCGCACACCAGGAACTAAACTTTCCCACAATTGCTTAGTCTCGCTTTGCTTATAAGCTGTATGGAAGTGCGTATACTACTTGATTTTTACTTGTGCAATAAACAGTTGAATGGATTGCAAAACAATCGACAATCACACAACTAATGTGCGATAGTTTAGTGATAGGTGTGCGCCCGCTCTTTGTATAATTATTATGTAAAAGAAACAAAGGATTAAATAAGAGACCGTTTATTATGTCGCTTTCTTAGTTTATTTTCTCCAAAATTTTCCTCACTACTTACAATTACTTAATGAATGACCCGAGTGCGTGTGACGAAACATGGAATGTACCTAAGTATCTACGGACCTTCGCGTAAGTTACGACATAGCTAAGTTATCGTATGGTAAGTTATTGAAACAATATAATAAATACGGACAATTGTAAAGACGCGGTCATTCAAAACAAATAAAAATCTCAAATATTTTACATAAATGAAATAAATTTTACATTTTAAAATAACTATATATACAAAAATCTAAAAAAATAAAAATACATCAACTGGATGAAGTACATCGCGTACCCTGTTATTTACAAAAATCTCAAATTTATACATATCTTACGACTAACTCGAGAGATAACTAAGGTGTAACTACATTTAATGCAACAGCTGTAACATCAAGCGATTTAAGCGTCTAAACCATTATTGTGTTGCCGATAATACTTTCTTTTCCGTTGTCTAAAAACTCTGAATAACCGGATTCATCGCTGCAAGCGCTGTCGTTGTCACTTGCATTTTTATTTATGTTATTAAAGACTTCTGTTTCATTAATAGAGTTGAGACTATCCATATCTGTCAGGTTGTCGAGTAGCGATTCAAATTTACCTTCAAGGTCAGTGATCGCGGAGGTGTCGGTTCGTAGCGGCGGGTATGTCGAGCGTCGCCTGAACCCATTGCGCTCTCCTATAGGTACATGGTTCACTTCATCGCTAGGAATCGACTTCAAACTCTCTTCTTCGTCATTGATTACTTGAATGGAATTAGTGTAATCTAAGTTATCTCTAAACGAGGCACGTTTAAATACTTGAACTCTCTCAAATATAGAAGACCTGTCTTCGTCGCTGTCGATTTCCTTTATTTCTTCGTGGGGGAAGTGCGAAGGGAGCGACGAAGGCTCGGCGTCCGAGGAGGTGACCGTGCTCGCGGTCTCGCAGCCCGAAGAAACAGATCCGTCGTCGCTGTCCGTGACGAGGAAGTTACTTTGTGTTTGCAATTTCTTTCGAACGTCGTCGACGTTAATTGTGTTGTCCATATTTTCGTGCGTTTCGGAGATCGCCCCCAATAGTTGCAGTGTAGGATCAGATTTTTCAGTTTCGTTTTGACTAGCTTCATTGCGGCTGTCGTTTGCCGCCTTCAATTGGCTCTCCTTAACTAGAAGATTAATCAGCTCATCTGTTGTTTGTAAATTTCCCGCAGGTTCCTGTTGCATTCTGTTCATAAAGCCGTCGGGACACGACAACTTGCGCGGAGACCTCGACTCCTGTCGTCGCCTATCCAAAGTTTGTGTGATGCCGATGTCATCGGAAGTCAAGTTACAAGAGTTTTGTTTCGCGTTCATCTCGGCTTCCTCCTCGTCCTCCTCAGACCATAGCTCCTCAATGGCTCCGAGTTTTGGGGCAGACTTGGACCTCTCCAGCGGCGGTCGGTAATTCGTAGCGCCGACACTAAGCAGTATCTTTCTGCGCGGCATGCTCGGGTTATCGTATACACTATTGGCGAGACTTAGCCTAGCGTTTTGCTTGGATATTCTGTCTTTTTTGAATTCGACTAGCGCCTGCTTTAACTTAAACTGTAGTTCCTCGGTTATCTTCTTTGACACGGATTCTTTGGTGCAGAGAACGGCGTGACAGCGCAGCTCGTGTTTTAGTTTCTTCCCTTCGTGCCGGTACACCCAGCAGAATAGTTTAGGATAGTGTGGTGGGCTGGCGCAGTAGGTGATGCGGTGCGACCAGTACTCGGTGAGGCCGTGCTCTTTGGTGAAGCCTTTCAAGCCGGAGTTGGTGACGGATAGCTTCATCACGACGTCCGGTTTCGTGGACTGCTGGTAATTCCTCCATAATGTCGCCAAGGGCTTCTCTATGCAGCTTTCTCCTGTAAATAAAAAGATATGCGTTAAAGTAATTCGCTATGTTTATTCATAATAACAAATTACAAATTAAAATGATGTTAAAATCACTATAGATATGTTTCTAAGATTATAAATTATGCATGATTAATGTGTGTGTTTCGTATGGAAAAAAACTGTTTAAATTTCCTATATCATTGATTTATATGAAGTAGTGTAAATTTATTCCATGAAATATCAGTTCCTACTCGCTCTAGTAAACGACTTGTTCACAGCCAGTTTAGGAATTAGGAAGTGTGTCAATTGAGCGCAGTTTGTGACAAAAACGTCGCCTTGGCGGACAACAAAACAACGTCTCCTAAAGTTCTAGATTATACGACAGGCTAACTGCAATTCATTACTTTTGCGAAAGATCTATTTTATTTACTAAACCAAATAAAATCTGTATATTCAGTATCATATTAAGAAGAAAGTGGATTGTTCTTTCATCTAGTTAATCACTATTTTCACTAATTTAATTTTAGTTTCTAAAAAAATTCCTTCTCTCGTGCGTGCGGCGATCATCCGCGCTTCGCTTCCTGCGAGAGCCACTAGAGTAAGCACGCGGCGTTGCTCGCACGTCTACTACTTGTTTATAGCTTTCACTTTTATCTTAGCCTGAGATTCTGTCCACTACATAGTGTGCAGGTCGTTGACCTCTACGTGTTCGACGATCGACATTTTTGTGTAGTGTTTTGTGAAATTACGTAATACATTTGGAGCACGTTTTCACCGATTAGGCTAAGTGGTGGTTATCGTCTCGGTTCTTATGCTTTGAGTATTTTAATTTACAAATTGATTAGGCAAAAATTGTAATTGATATTTTAAAAACATCGTAATATATTAATGAATGTCTTTCAGAAGTATTACAAGAAAGACTTACACAAGGCTTTTTTTGATTAGTTAAGACCTTGAAGCATTACTTTGATCTTTCTGGTTTGCAAATCATTAATATAGCACATTATATAATTTGCTCTTCATATTCTTTATATAAAGTCATTAGTTAATTATATACACAGAGTATTTCCCACAAGGTTGAAGCTATCAAAATTATATTACATCAAAATGATGATTGATTAATAAAAATGATTCTATCAATCAAACTGTTTCATTTGCCTTTTTTGCCAACGATAATTATTATTTCATATATGTTTTTGTATTGAGTACAATTTCCAGCTCATCAGAAATTACTAAAGTATAAACAAAATGTACACTTAAATGTATATTTATGTGTGTATTATGTATCAAACGTAGATAACACTTAAATATACATCTAATCAAGCATATAAAATAAAGTTTTTCTACGAATAACTATGTAAATGTAATGTTTATGAATTCAACAAATTTGGTTCGCCGAATGATAAAAAACATTATGAGTAGATCATGATTTTATCTAAATCAAATAATATAAGACGTTTTTACATAACCATTAGTGGTCTACATAATGAGACATCAAATTTAAAGTGTCTATCAAAAAAGAGCATTGAATATACTCTAATCCCAGGCACAATGACAGTTGAGACGATAGACTTTATGTGGGCGACAGTACTAAGCGGCTAGGAGCAACTTTATCGAACGGACGACTTCCAGTCAAGGAAGATAACTTTCCCCTGTAAATTTATACATCCTTTGCTATTTATATACGATCAGTACACATTTTATCCTAATTATTGACGAAAAGATGTATCTTTTTCTAAAACACGGACATTTTTATTTTACCCCTTGATTACAAAATTCATCCGTTTGTAATTAAACCAGGCAATTGTCAGTAGTCATATTGAGATATAATTTTAAACGTCAGAAAGTAATTTGTATATAAACATCATCTTGCAATATATAGATTGTTACCGCAAGTGAAAAATATGATTTTGTAAATATTTATACTTAGTAACATCTGAAAACGTATGAATACTTTTGAAGATCATAAGTTGCCGTTGAATAAATAAGTTTTTCGCGGAATCAAGGTCTCTGGCGAAATGTTTCGTAACATATTTACTGTTGAGCAATTCACATTAATTACGTTTATAAATTTGTAGCAGATTTTACCTCGCTAAGAATTGCGTAAGCGATATTTTAATGCGGCAAAAATGAATGTAAATTTTTAACAAAATCTTTTCATGACAATATCTATCAATAACAATTTCTTGTGAGTTCAAAACCCATCTGATTTACAGCAACTATAATACAAAAGCATCCTTACGTAAGCAGCACTGGTAATGACCTGCTAAAATCGGATTAGAAACGCCATGTGGAAGTCGTATGATGCCAACGTAAGTAAAAACATTTTGATGTTTTAATATGTCTCATTAAATCAGTTATATGCACTTAATTTTGTAAATAAAAATAAATACAACATACAAAAAAATATTTCGATCAGCAAACACGGTCTGGATTGAAAGTAATTTAGACTTTTAAACTTCAGTCAGAATGCAGTATTATAATAATGCAGTTAATTCAGTCCATAATTCTTTCGCAATGTGTAATTTGAATCAACAAACTCCCTGCACAGATGTTCCGATATGGAATAGTTAACGTATGGCTAAAGTTAGTTGTATTGGCGAAAACTTGTCTATCATTGCACAAGAGGCTGTTGTATCTGTTGCAAGAGAACGATCCGAATTGACGCAACGTGTGTCGCACGCAACCGACCGGGAAAAGCACAGGTTTCCTGCATTGCCGGTGACTGACACACATTACTATTTAATATTGACTATCGTCAGGCAAATCTCTTTTAAGATCTTCATGACTGAAAAGGAATTGATATTTTGACACGGTAGAAAATGTAAAACTTTTGGTACGCAGTGAATATCCTGAAATACAATGTTATTGTTAACTAGCTGTGGCTTGCAAATTGTCTGCGTGTAATTAAATAAAAACCCTATGTTACTGAGTGATAATTAAGTTACTTCAATACACACCAAAATCCAAACATTCAAATCTTTATATATAGATTTCATAATATTCTGTTAAAAAAATGGATACAATACAGACAAACAGTAGGCACATTTTTCACGTTTGTCGTTCGTTATAGATCGCTCTAATTTTGTTCCTATATTTATTTAAGTTGTCAGCTCTATATCAAGCTATCAGATGTATCGGTATCATCGCTGGGCATTGTGCCACCGTCGCTATGATTTAATGTCAGTTTGTCTGTCATTGTTCCGGCAGAGGTCAATGCCCTCTATGGCACTACTGGGCGCTGGACAGGTGACTCATAACTTCTAACTTCTGGTTTTTCTTTAATATCATAAGCGTAAGTGATGAGGAAATGTTTAGTTTACACATAGGCTATTTGTTTAATTATAACAAGATTATTATGAAATAGGTTTATGTAAGTCTTCCATGTAAGAAAACGGTAGTGGCATTATTTAAATATTAGCTTTTGTACTCGTAATTTATTTACAGATTTTTATTTTCCGTGGTCGTAACCATTGCATGCTACTTGCACGTGCCAGCGACAGGCATTTAAAAACGTTAACTAGAATTTTACTAGCATGAGTATTCCCGTCCTATGTTATGTTCACATATATACTCGTAAGGCACAGTTAGATATGTAAATTTGCTTTATATTAGTAAATGCATGTAAGTACTTTTTGCTATGCATGTACGCTCCATTTGTGGCAGCGTCCTGCCTGTTGCAAAACACAGGTTATCGGCAATTGTTGCGCATGCATGACGCGCTCCGCACACGACGTCGTTTGCGATCGCGTAACACAATCGCCAATGTAGCTTCCTCAATTAATTTATAACATACCACAAGCTTTACATAGGTTGGTGACTAGAATTACAAAGGTATTAACTTTCTATGCACAATGGAAAATTTTCAATTTTCTTTAACAAACGCATGCGGGCGTCTCAAACTAGACTATCTTGTGGTAATGGTGGTTTAGATTGGTTATTGATACTTGAGAATGTTTTGGGTTTATTTACAAGAGGAAGCAAATGACAATGTTTGCTTGATATTACGTGATTGTCAACGGTAATATGTAATGGTCAGTAAAGATATTACGTACGTGTGGCTCGATCATTGTTCAGTAATAACACATCATAACGTATGCACGAGGAATTGCAAATACATTAGCGGGCCAACGTCAGTGGACACAGTCCATTACGTGTTATGACTGCATTATGCAACGTAAGACACGAACTGAAGCGACAATCTATATTAAAATCTATGATGAGAATCGTTTATGGTTACGTTTCAGGCGATAATTCTAGCGAGTGGTGACGTCACACAAAAGCGCGCCGTAACGCGACCGTTTCCACCATTGTTTCTAGTTATGTAAAAATTGTTTTGTAACTCGAGTGAGAAAACTTTGACGGACTTACTATTGGATTATAAATCCTATTTTTATATGCTTGATTAATTATTAAAGTTCTGTTTAGGTCCATCGCTTTCTTATTACTTTCTCTTAATTTTCCGATACATTTATTAACATTTTATTGCAGCATTATAACCAGTTGACATTTGAAAATTGATGTTATTTTTTCGTCCGAAATGTTTTACTTTAATATATTACATTTACTCTTTTGTTTCAAATTAAGATTTTTGTATTCGGTCTTTCAGCAATTCGGCACTACGTGTCATTAAATGAACGTAGTACTAAAATGGAGGTTAATTTAATTACTGCCTCGCTGTGGTCACGGCGAACTCGCTGCCTCTTGAACTTAATCGATTAACGCCATTAAATTGTCATATCTTTTGGACATCTCTTTAATTACACTTACACAAATATTTATACTAAAAACAGTAGAATGTCTACACGTAGTTAAAGCAAATGGGAACGTAATGATGAGAAAAATTTATGGTTATTTAATCGAATTGTATGGACATTTCTCATATTTTAAGGTTTACATTAAGCTGTAGACGTAAAGAGTTTCGTCAGTTAATGAGTCAGTATATGTCAGTATTTTGTTTGTTTTTTGATGTACATTTATTACATTTATTCAGTGTCATTGATGGATATCAGATCCGCGGGTAAATAAACTTCCAATATTCGTTTGTTTCTATATTTCGAGGCAAATACGAAAGTAAATTATTAATAAAAAGAGTAGAGTAGACTCTTCCTTGTTATTACATGTATTGTATGTAACAAACAAGTACTAAGACACCATAAAACTTAATTTCCGTACAGAGGCAGCGATCTCTGATAGTTTACATACTCTGTGCCGTGTAATGAGGGCAATGACCTGTTTCCTACACTCGATGTCACAGACAATGTACAACCAGAGCAATTAACAACAATTAAATCAGTTTTATAAAATCAAAGAACAACAGTAAATGCACTGTTTAAAAGCACAAGTCTATATACAACTGAAAATTACTGCACAAGTTACATGATCTAGACAGGATAGTAAATAGACTCATTTTATTTCACATTCACTTTATTGCATCACTAATTGTCAGTATCTGTCTATATTGTTACGCAATCTGTGTAAAGTTAAAACTATAGAAATGTAGTTAGGAAGCTTGCTTTATTTAGTGAATGAAACACAATACTTACAGAGTTTTTAAAATATACAAGACTGAATCAATATTCCGTTTTCATATATGCTATCTCTTTTGTGACAGGGACATTAATTGAGACAATGTGAACGGCTCGTAGCTCGCACCCTGAGGGTGGCTTAGGATAATCAGTGCGACATCCCCCTTGTGCCAACATTATAATAAATATCTCCCG